TTCTCTGAGGAGAGGGAGGGTTGACATAGTTGTGCACCTGCTATTTTCCATGTACCACTTGGTACCTGTATCTTACCTCATATAATGCTCATCAAAACCCAGTTGGATTAACCCCTCTGACCCTCATTTTCACAGAAACTGAAGTTTTAGGGAATTTACTGAAATACGTGAGCACTGGAACCAAGATTCAAACCCAGGAAGTATGGACTCCAAAACCCACCTCTTAACAACTGCACATGGAGTCAAATCCTCAACTATCCCATCAGGTGGGGGATGAGGGGGTAGTCATCGCAATACCCATTAATCATGACAAAACTGAGAGCTGAAGGTGCTTGCCCAAGGTCTAATTGCCTTCAGTCTGGGAGGCCTCTTCCCCGAACACATGCTCTGCAGCTGTCACCAGCCCACAAGCAGAGCAATGAGAAGCAATGGAAGCCACTGGCTCTGTGAGCCAGCCAGTCTCTGTATTTCCCCGAGTGCCAGTGATTACAGCAGCAAGTTACGAAAGCAGGAGTGGGCATGTGAAGGGGAAAACCCAGTATCCTCCTGGGGATTCTCCTACATCAGCTCATGAGCCCTTCACAACCTGCCAGGTAAGAAGGGGTGGGATAGTGGACACTCTTGGCACCCACCACCCCCCATCTGCTTTACTGGGATGGCATACCCATCCCCCAGGCAATGACTGGCAGACAGGTGCAGGTGAGTTACAGCACAGCTTCTGCCTTGCATCTGAGCAGGTGAACCTCTGGGATGCACTTCACACTCCAGGGCTCCTTGTGAGACCAGGCTGTGGCTGAAACTCTCCCAAAACAACTTCTGGGAGGCTAATTTCTCCTCCACCCTGTCCTACCTCCCTCGTTCCCCAGCAAGTGCTTCCTAACAGCCCTCCCTCAATAAATTACTCACAGGGGGCGCCTGGGTGGCTCAGTTGGTTAAGCGACTGCCTTTGGCTCAGGTCATGATCCCGGAGTCCCGGAATCGAGTCCCGCATCAGGCTCCGGGCTCAGCGGGGAGCCTGCTTCTCCCTCTGACCCTCCCCCCTCTTATGCTGTGTCTTTCTCTCTCTCTCTCTCTCTCTCTCTCAAATAAATAAATAAAATCTTTAAAATAAATAAATAAATAAATAAATAAATAACTCACACAAAAATCCTATCAGGCTCTGCTTCTACAGAAACTGACCAAAAGCAGATAGTCATCCTTATTTTCTTGCATTTTTGTTTTGTTTGTATCTTTTTTTAGGAAGATAGTAATTATTTGTAAAAAAAAAATTCAAACAATGCAGAAGTATATAAAATTAAAAGTGAAGATCTCTCAGTCCCCCATCCTTATACCTGGAGGCAATCACTGTTAAAAGCTTAGAGTGAATCCCCTCCAGGCTAAGTCCTATTCACAGGCTCAGTCATACAAGTATATTATTAAATATGAATAAATTTATAAATTCACACAATTTTCTTAACACAAGTGAGATCATACAATATACAATCAACTGTGTTCTCCAAAACAGTAGCTACAAATCATATATGGCTGTTTGAGTTTAAATCTATGAAAATTGGAGCACCTGGGTGTCTCAGTTGGTTAAGTGTCTGCCTTCAGCTCAGGTCATGATCTCAGGGTCCTGGGATAGAGCCCTGTCTCAGGCTCCCACTTAATGGGGAGTCTGCTTCTCCCTCTCCCTCTACCCCTCCCCCCACTCATGCTTGCTCGCTCTCTCTCTCTCTCTCTCTGAAATAAATAAATAAAATCTTTTAAAGAGGGAATTGGTTAGCCCAGTGATGGGTATTAAGGAGGACACATACTGCATGGAACACTGGGTGTTATACAAAAACAACGGATCGTGGATCACCACATCAAAAACTAATGATGGTGACTAACCATCTAATTGTATGGTGACTAACATAACATAATAAAATTAAAAATAAATAAAATTAATTAAATAAATATCTATGAAAATTAAATAAAATGAAACATTCCATTATTTGATCCTACTAGCTTTGTTTCGATTGCTCAGTAGCCACTTGTGACTAGTGGCTACTATAGATCCAGAACATGTCCATCATCATAGAAAGTTCTGTTGGACAACTCTGTTGTACTCTTAACTTGCTTTTTCACTTAGGAGTAGGTCTTGCAAACCAAGAGCAGCAAAATTTGTCAAGCATGGAAGCTGGGTGATGGGTACTGGGAGTTTTTTTGTACTATTTTCCTTACCTTTGAATGTTTGAATATTTCTATAATAAAAAGTTAAGAGAAGGATATGTTTGGGGCAACTTTCCAAGTCAGTCCATACAGACCTAACTCATGCTTTTGAACAGCTGTGTAGTTTCCATTGTGTCCAAAGGCATTAACTGTGCCAGAGATGGCTTGATAATCAAAGGTTCAAGCAGAAACTCCACACTCCCCTTTCCATGGTATGGAATTGTCACTAGCAGGCAGCTTACCCACCATGGACTACATTTCCCAGCTCACCTTATGTCCAGGTATGGTCCTGTGACCCTGAGCAAATACCACATGCCTCACTGCCAGACCTCGGTGTTTAGAAAGTGGGTGTGCCTTCTGCACTGTTTCTTTTCCCTTTGACCATGGTCTGCAGAAGACTCCAAGACCCTCGAATGGCTGAGCCACAAGACAGAAGGAGTCCGGGTCTCCAAATTACCGTTTGGAGGAAAAATCACCCACTGGCCAGAAATATCTGCATTGGACTCTTAAACGAAAATTAAATTTCTTTTTATTAAGCCATGGACAGTTTTGGGTTTGTTACAGTAGCTAGGGTTACTCTAACAAACACAACGTTTTATCCAACCAGTCCCCTCATGTAAACAAACATTGGTTATTCCAAGTTGTTACTAGAATAGTATAACAAACACATCCTTGAGTGTATGGTGAGGTATCTCCGTATGTTATACAAATATCTCTTTGGAATAAATTTCTGGATTAGGAATTGCTGTGTCAAAGTGTATATGCATTTTCATAGTGTTTCATTAAGTATGATATAGAGAGAAAAGCACAAATATTGTAAGTGTGCACTTTGATGAACTATCACGAAGTTAACATCCCTGTGTTTATAATTTTTAATTCCAACAGTGCCCAGTTTTCTCAAATGTTAAGTCTTTGGAATTCCCACTTACAAATTCCTTGTATGTGCCTTGACTATAACATCTCTCACACTCTCTATGTGAGGCACAGATTCTTTCTTTCATTTATTTATCTACCTAACTCGCCTGTGCAGTATCAGGCCCAGGCTGGGTCCCAGAGCTGTGAAGAGTCATGCAATGACTTCCTCACCAGCCAAGGGCTTTCTGGAATCAATAATAATGATCGATTTTTTTATCAAGGTGACCTTTTTTGGAAATATAGTGATATGATTTTCTCTTTTCCACTTATATGGTTGTGAACCCCCTCCCCCAACACATTCTGCCAAAAGATTTACTCTCATTCAGGAAGAATTAAGATGTCTTAGCAGCAGACATACATGAAAGCAAAACAGTAATGTTCAGGTTTTAATTACCAAACTGGGTGTTTGGGTTCCCAGCAAAACAATAACCTTGAAAGCAAAGCCTTATAAGATGAAAGAGTTTTGGGAATCTAGTGTACAGCATGGTTACTCTGGTTAACAATACTGTATTATATTCTTGGAAGTTGCTATGAGTAGATCTTAAATATCCTTACCAGGAATAAAAATGGTAGCTATATAAGGTGATGAAGATATTAGTGAACACTATGGTGATAATCATTTCTCAATATACATGTGTATCATATCAACATGCACACACCTTAAACTTGCATGTTATATGTCAGTCATATGTCAATAAAAAGATTTTGTGGTAACCAGGCTTGAAGGACTGTAAGGTAGAGTTTTCATTAAGCCATGGTGTAAGGGAAATACTTATCACAAGGGAAGAGAAAAAATTGTAGGATGCTAATAAAGATGAGAGGAACCCACCAGGAGCCCTACTCCTCTGCCACCTCACCTCAGAAACTTTTGGACAGGAACGGGTGAATTTAGGGGTATCAAGGCTAGGGCCTGACTTCTCCCAACAAAAGCCAGGTGGAATTTCCCAGTCTAGAAGAGAAGTTTGCTTTTTGCTGCTATCATATCCAACAGGGTATGAGAGCCAAAGATTAGAACCCACAGAGGGAGGTAGCCAGTAGGAGGTCCAAGAAAACTCTTCTGGGTTCCTGTAGCCTGAACATGGAAAGCAGAAGCTCCTGCATGGACCCCTGGGGGGTACAGAGCTGCAAAGAGGACTACCAGACAAGCAAGGTGGGGCCATGCTTTACCGGTAGACAAAACATCCCATCCAGAGTCCACCCCTGACAGCCACAAGATCCCATAGTTGCCCCTACACTAACACCCAGCCACCATTTTGGGAGGACCAAGAGTAGGGTGAGAAATTTGAAAGTTTAACTCTGTACAATACAAACTGAGTTTCCCAAATAAGGCTGAGCCAGGACAGAGACACCAAGAACCTGAAGAACTGGCAACGTTTTTCCTCTCCATCCAGCAGCAGCTTATGTAGAAAATGAGAACACTTAATACAATTTTAAAACGCGTTCTTTCCACACTGAGTTGTAGTTTGAGTAAATTTCATCCCCATTCCCACCACACTACCATTTATGAAGCTCTCATCCACATACCAGTTGGCTAACAAAGTTACCTCTTTTGATTTAAGCTTCACGATGTACCCCTGGGATAGGAACCTGTGTTAACTGTATTTCACAGTTGAGGAAAGTGACAATCAGAGAGATTTTGTGTGACTCACCTGAGGTCATACAGTGAATCCAAGGCAAGTGCCTTGTCTTCCCCTCTGGATTATTCAATATAATCCAGGTAAGTGCCTGGAGCAGGAACCAAGAGACCTGGATATTATTTATCCCTTGCTCTGCCACTAAGTAGCTCCCAGCAAGTGTTCAGCCGTGGCTCAGCCTCCTGGGGCAGAAGGGTCTCCTCCCCAGAAAACATCCTCCCACACATTGAACATATGGATTCTCTTTGACCAACTTACCATCTGTCATTGATTCCAATGGGAACATAACCCAGATGAATATACCACAATACCCTGTGAAGAAAGAAAAGAAAAACACCATGAACCATCAAGAAGCAATGTGCTCAACCTGAAAAGTACTCCTGAAATGGCCTCGTATAAATAGGTTTGATGAGATATCCAACCAAATGACAAACATACAATATTTTACATAATACTCACAGCAGACATTCCTGCTTTTCTGCACTTTATGTTTTTTCATTTTGTTTGTATTATCTTAATTTTCTTTTCAATTACAAAGTTCCAGCTGATTTTCAAAAATATACCTTAAAACATGTATTCTCAAAAGAAATGACATCTCCCCCCCAAAGGGCAAAACTTGGTTCTTAGGGAAAGGTGAAAAAAAGTGTCTAAAAGGCAGTGCAGACCCCGACATTTAGCTCTTCTCTGATATTACCACCTCCGTGACCCCCAACCCCACCACTCCCACCACCCGACCTCCACCACCTCCACCTTCATCCCCACCATCCCCACCATCAATGTCATCATCACTACTCTGCTAAAAATCTTCAGGGCAGAATAAGGGGCACTAATAGCTAATACCAGCCCTGACACCCCAAAGCAACAACTCGGCATTCCTGCATTTGTGGTCCACAAGTTACCTGCTCCTTCTAATGAAGCTTGCCAGTCAACAAGTCCCACAGACCCAAACCCCTGATTCCCATTCATTATCATCAAACAAAATTCTGCTTGTTAATCATTTTAGAGGCAACAGAACACTGTTTTTAAGCATACCAACTCTGGAGTCAAAATGCTTGGGTTTAAAAATCTGGCTTCACTAATTACTGACTGCATTGCCTTGGAAAAGTTATTTAATCTCTTTGGATCTAAGTTTTCTCTTCCACAAATAGATGCACTGGACCACAGCCTAGGAAGCCCACACTTGTTGCTCAAAATATTGTCCCTCATTCATATATATATTGGGGTTTTTTTATTATGTTCAGTTAGCCAACATATAGTACATCATTAGTTTTTGATGTAATGTTCAATGATTCATTAGTTGTGTATAACACCCAGTGCTCATCTCTTCCATTCATAGATTTGAACCAGTGACCAAAACCTGAAAGACAACTTTTACATCAACATGGCTGGGACTGGAGGAGATGATGCTAAGTGAAATAAGTCAAGCAGAGAAAGACAATTATCATATGGTTTCACTTATTTGTGGAACATAAGGAATAGCATGGAGGACATTAGGAGAAGGAAGGGAAAAATGAAGAGGGGGGAATCAGAGGGGGAGACGAACCATGAGAGACTGTGCAATCCGAGAAACAAACTGAGGGTTTTAGAGGGGAAGGGGGTGTGGGGATAGATTAGTCCGGTGATGGGTATTAAGGAGGGCACGTACTGCATGGAGCACTGGGTGTTATACAAAAACAATGAATCATGGATCACTACATCAAAAACTAATGATGTATGGTGACTGACATAATATAATAAAATTTAATTTAATTTAAAAAAATTGAAAGACAGGAAGAAAACCACAACATAGACCATAAACAAGACCAGTACAAAACTGACATCTGAAGAAAGGGAAATAAGAGAACAGACAGGAAGTCTCCATCTCATGGCTCAGGCCTCAGCACAAATGTCACCCCCTCCAAGAGGTCTTCTCTGACTTCCCCCTTCAACGTAACCCCAGTTACTCTCTTCTTTTGAGGCACTATCATTGCCTGAGATGCTTTTGTGTAGTTATTATTTGGGACAGCATGGCATAGTGATAAGCAATAAAGCATACAGACTCTGGAGCCAGACTGCCTGCCTTACCCCATGTTAGCTAAGTAGTCTTGGGCAAGTCATCTAATATCTTTTGCCTCAGTTTCCTCCTTTGTAAAATAGGGTTATTAGTGACCCAGTATTTGGAGGAGTTTTGTGAAGTTATCTGAGGAACTTAAAACAGTGCTAGGTAGGTGGTTGCTGTTACGGCCAGTGGCTTTCTACCTGTCCCTCCCACGAGGATGTCAGCCTCATGACAGCAGGAATTGCTTGTTTACCACTGCTCTCCCCTCAGTGCCTACAACAGCATCTGGCACATAGTAGTTGCTCAGGAAGTACAGGTCAAATGAATAACTATAAAGAAAGTCGGCCCTGACAGATGGAATTCCCTGTGCTCAGTGATTTTTGTCAAAGGTCCCCCAGTGAGGGTGTTGGCAGTATCCAACCTAGAACTACAGTCTACATCCAGTGCAGGCTTCCCCCAACACTCCCATCACCATTCAGCCCCACACTCACCCCAGAAGAGGAGAAACCTGAAGCTCCACATGGTGCTGAGTTTCTCTCATTCAAAGAGGGAACCTCTTCTTCAGTCTTGGGGTTTTCAGTAAACAGAATGTGTGGGAAGAGGGGAGGGTGGAGCCAGAATTGCTCAATGCCACCAGAGCAAGACAGCCTTTTTTGCTGAATTGCTTGCTGCTGGATGAGGACAGCGTGGCAAACCCCTAATTGTGTCTCTGCCAGAGTGAAGAGAAGTTGGTCTGGCTAATGTGTCACTGTGTTCTCTCTTTCGCCAATTGCTTGCCTTCCCTCCACACTTGCTTTTCTTTCCCCATCAACAGCTACCTCTCAACCTTCTTTCATTTCCCCCCAACTATAAATATACTACCACCACTTGTCCCCAGTGAAGCAAATCCTAGACTCAAAGTTACCTTCCCAGAACGCCCCACACAAATAACCACCATAGCCATCATGGACCAGTTGCCATGCTAGACACATTGCCAACAAAATTTAATTTCATCATATCACATCAATATCATCAAGTAAGGATTCTGACCCCCACCTATTTTACAAAATTAAATTAAATTAAATTAAATTAAATTAAATTAAAAATGAAACTGAAGCATGGAGAGGGGACAGGACTTGTCCAAGGTTACTTGGAGTCAAGATTTGAATCCAGGACCTTCTGGCTCCAAGGTCTAGCACTTGAACCATCCCATCTGCCTCCATCTCTCCTACATCTGACCCCTGCACAGCAGCACTCTACCACATTCCCAGCCCTAACACACTTGCACACACAATCTCACACACATGGAGGTCTAGTAATGCCTTGGCCAAGGTCCCCAGAAGCAGATGCTGAGACCAGGATTCTAGTGAAAGTAGTTTATCAAGGAGGTGACCCCAGAAGACTCCAACTGGAGGTGGGGTGGGCAGTGAGATTGGGATGGGAAAGGGTCCCAGGTGGCCATCCCATCTAGAAAGTTGCATTAGAGCTCAATCTCACTGGGGACCTCTGAAAGGCAGCCCAGAGTAGTCTTCAGTTACCCCAACAAAGGGGCGACGGAGCTGGGGTATCTATCAACCAGCTACTGCCGGTCATGCATTGAGGCTCACATCAACCCACAACACCTTGGGCCTGGCCTCCTAGCAGAGAGAATGTGCATAACCAGAGTGTAACCTTGTAGATAACAAAATGCAGCAGCTGATAGTTGGCCTAGTGTGACCCAAGGGGTTGAGGATCACAGGCATGAGTAGGCACCAAAAGCATCTGCCACAAGCTAAAAATGAGGCACAAAGGGCAGCCCCAAGTTCTTGGGAAGAAAAGCCCCCACGTGTTTCTGCATTCTCCCTTTTGCTCTGTGCAAAGCAAAATACCCACCTTGCAGTTATGATCACTGAAGAAGATCTATCAATGGTCCCCCATGTGTGATCAAGGGACTCTACCCGGTGAGGTTGTAGTTAAGAGCCAGCACAAAAATATAGCAAATTCCACCAAGAAAGAGGATAAACAAAAGCTGTGTTGTATTAGGAGAAGCACTGTAGTATACACAGACTCTAAAACCAGATCACCAGGGGTTCAAATCCCATATCTTCTGCTTCCTAGTCATGTGTGGTCCTGGGCAAGTTCTTAATCTCTCTGTGCCTCAACATTCCCATTTGTAAAATGGACCCAATAATAACAGGTCTACTTCATGGCACTGGTGTGAGCCTCTGAGAAGAGGGCATACATGACGTGCCTAGAACTGAACCTGGTATGCACGAAAAACTCCAAGTATTGGGTATTATGGCCACAGGAGCTAGAATCAGACCTAGGATCAAATCCTGATTTTGCAAGGTATTCTCAAAGTGACCTTGGAAGTGACTTGCCTCTCTGGGCCTCAGTTTCTTCATCTGGAGAATGAGGGTAACAATAGGTCATGTCCCAAAGGATAGCTGTGGAGGGGATTCCATAATGTGGGGTAATATTGCCAACTGGGAGCAACTTCTGAGATTTGCACTTTCTTCTATACTCCTTGTTCAGTGCATCCAAGGTGTGGACACTAGAGGCAGACAAACAAATGCAGCAGTTTTAAGTTCATTCACAAATTCTTTTATACTCTTCCCTTCAAGAGGAGGGGCTTAATCCTGCTCTCCTTGAGAGTGTGCTGGACTTGGTGAACAGGAAAAGGAGGATGTGACACTGTGCCATCTGAAACATCTGAGGTTCAGAGGGTCACTGTGGCTTCCTGCTTGCCCTCCCCTTCTGGGATCCTTCACCAGGGAAAAACCATCATCATGTTGTGAGGTCACTCTGCAGCACTGTGGAGAAGCCCACATGAGGAGGAACTGAGGTCTGTGGCCAATGGCTTGACTGTGACCTCATGGGGGGACCCTGATCCAGAACCACCCAGCTAAGCCACGTCCAGATTCCTGACCCTCAGAAACCATAAGGAAAATAAAACCTGGTTGTCTAAAGCTGTCCAGTTTTGGAGTAGTAGTGCAGCAAGAGACAACTGGTATACCTAGAAGCCATTTTCCTTATCAGCAAAATGAAGACAACACCAGCTTCACAGGGACTGAGGTTTAATATAATAAAATCACAAAATCCTGCCTGACACAGATTAAATGCTCTCTAATATTCATTGTTATTACATTATTCTTTTGCTATGCTAAGCTGTCATGGCTACTCATAGAAGACCTGGTACCAGCGATGACTGAACTGGAAAAGCCAGCAAAGACCATTTCATGCAGAACCTTCTAATGTGGGTGAGTTTGGACTTGATCTTCAGGGCACCAGAAGGGATTTCAGCAAGGGAGTGAGTGAGGGGCAGGCTGGCTGGGTTTTACAACTGCTGCACCCTGGACCGGGCAGGAACCATGGAGAAGGCTGGGGCTGCATCTGGGGGAGAGAAAAGCATGGTAGTCTGGTCTAGGGCAGGGGCTGTGGAGGCAGAGAGGGGTTTAGGAAGCAGGGCAAGCAGATGTGCGGAAATATCTGGTGAGTGGGGAGTCTGAGACAGAAGGAATAGCTGACATTCAGAATGGGGATGGACATGGGATGAGGACATGTGACTTTCCTGCCCCCACCATAACAAAGCACCACAAACAGCCACTTAAAATGACACAAATTCATTACATTACAGATTTAGAGGTCAGAGTCCCAAGTGAGTCTTAAGGGACTGAAATCAAGACATCAACAGAGCTGCATTCCTTCTGAAGGCTCCAGGGGAAATCCATTCCTTGTCCTTTCCAGCTTCTGAAGGCCCCTTCCTCTGTCTTCATAGCCAGCAGTGTAGCATCTTCCAATCTCCCTCCCTCTCTCCTTCAATATCTCTCTCTCATTCTCTCTCTGACCCTCCTCCCTCCCTCTTAAAAGGGCCCTTGTGATTACATTAGGCCCACTCAAATAATCCAGAGTTTCCTTGTCTCAAGAGCCTTAATCACATCTACTTTTGCCATGTAAGGTCACATAGTCACAGGTTCCAGGGATTTGGATGTGGACAATTTGGCAGGAAGGTATTCAGGGAACCTTGTAATTCTACCTATATATGGGTCTGGGGTCCTGGTCAGGGATGGAGGATCACAAGATGACTGTTACCTTTATTAAACCCCAAAGAGTTAACCAAGGCTATAAAATCTTCACTTCAGAGATCCTGCCAGTCAGAGGACAGGCTTAGAGGGAGAAGAGGAAGGATGGAGTAGAGGAAATGCAGTTTCTAGCCACATGGCTTGGTAAGCTTAACCTCTTATGTCTTTCCCAGCAAACGCTAAAATAAGGGACACTTAAGATTAAAGAAATCAGCCTGGAGGAGCTCCAGAGGTGTCACTCTTCCCCACACTGAATGTGACAGGGCTACTCTAGGACAGCCCTACCCAACTTGACCATGTCCCTCCTATACTCTAAATCCTCCCATGGCTCCCTATTATCCTCAGGATGAACTCCAATCTTGTTAATATGGCACTCAAGACCCTGCTTAGTCTTACACTGGTCACCCCTGCTGGCCTCATTTCTCCCCTTTCCCCCAAAACCATAGTCATCCTATACCAACTGAAGCCCCCATAGTGGATGCTGTTGATGCCCTACAGCCACCCTTTAGCAGGTGTAGCACCAATCCCCCAGCTGCTGTGAGCATGGCCTAACAGCTCACAGCTTCCCCTTCCCCAGTGCCTGCACAAACCCTCAGACCCAGCCCAGCTAGTAACCCACGGTCACAGAGCTACAAAAGGCCAGCCCCACAGTGAGATAAACTCATGGTGGTATTTAAGTTCCCAGCTCCCCATGGGATCAGGCTGAGGCTAGATTCCAGCTGACAACACCTCTTTGCTTAGTTCTTTTTCTCTGTCCCCACCCGGTTTCCTTCACCCCGCCTCTGCTAAATACCCTCCCCAGCAAACCTGGTGCACAAGAATCCTCACAGCAGGGTCCAAGCTCCCAGTCCCCAACCAAGGGCCAACTGTGTTAACATCTTTATAAACAGGTGTGTTAGAAAGTGAGGGAGAGTCAGTAATGTATCCTCCAGACCAAGAAGGGAGAATTTTTATTTATTTTTTTATTGTGTTCAGTTAGCCAACATACAGTACATCATTAGTTTTAACGTAGTGTTTATTCATTAGTTGCATATAACACGCAGTTCTCATCACATCACATGCCTTCCTTATTGCCTATCACCAAGTTATCCCATCCCCCCACCCACCTCCCTTTCTGCAACCCTCAGTTTGTTTCCCTGAGTCAGGAATCTCATTTGGTTTGTCTCCCTCTCTGATCTCTTCCCACTCAAGTTTTCCCTCCCTTCCTCTAATGGTCCTCTATGCTATTGAGAAGACACTTTAAGACAGAAAAACAAAGCAAACCTCTCCACAGCACTTACACAGAATTGTGTTCAGGGTAACTTACTGATGGGGAATTGGGCAGGTGACTATCCGTGGGGTACACAGCCACTCTCCACAGCTACTCTCCACCCAGTCCAGATGCAATCCCAAGCTTTTATGGAGCAAAGGGCATGGTGGTGAGGTCGTAGGGTAGTTACCTACAGTGGGGCTGTCTGGGCACCAGAGAACCTCTACTGGTTGCCTAAAGTGAGGCCTTCTGTGCATCACTTTAGGGAAGATCAGAACAAGCCTTCCCACTTCCCGGTCA